TTCAAACAATTCAAAGAGAATGTAATAACATACAGGATTCAGATTCTCTGTGTGTTTTCCATCTTTATGTGGCTTTATTTTAAATTCTATTTCTTTTATTTTTACGTTTAACTTTTGGCTTTTTGAGATTAGGTTTCTCTGTGTATCTTTGGCTGTTCTGGAATTCACTCTGTTGACCAGGTTGTCCTTGAATTCACAGAGATCTGCCTGCCTCTGCCTTCCAAGTGTTGGGATCAAAGTTGTGTGCCATCACACCCAACTACTCTCTTTCTTTCTTTTTTATTTTAAGGACTTTATCTTTATTCTTTTCTCTCCCAAGCCTACATATATTTTTTAAACACACTAAACCGTTTAGAGGCTTCTTTTCTCTGAATCTATCTTTACTGTATACTTTTCTTTTTCTGACAACATGAGTCTTTAATTTACTGTTTTGGCTAGGATTAAAGCCATGACTTTAATGGCTAGATCCACTCCATTCCTTAGCTTTCTGAAAGCCTAACCTCATGACAGAGGTACTAGTCGGTGCCATGTTTATTGCCACAATACTATGGAGTTTCAAGGTCCCTGCCACCACCAAGAAGCCTGTTATTGGCTATTCATCAATACTATTTAAGTGTTTGGTGGTGGGGCCTCTTAATAGAACTGCAAGGTTTTTGCTTCTAAAGCTGAGTCAGAAAGCCTCTCGTAAGTGAGATGCACTTGCCTCTAGCTCCCCTCTCTTCCTCCTCCCCTTCTACATTTTCTCATGAGCCCCGTATTCCCAATTTACTCAGGAGATCTTGTATTTTTCTCCTTCCTATGTATATCCATGTATGTCTCTCTTAGGGTGTTCTTTGTTGTCTAGGTCCTCTGGGATTGTGGACTGTAGTTGGTTTTTCTTTGCTTTATGTCTAGAAGTCATTTATGAGTGGGTACATTTGATATTTGTCTTTCTGGGTCTGGGTTACCTCACTCAATGTGGCTTTTTCTAGATTTATCCATTGGCCCACAGATTTCAAGATGTCATTAATTTTTACTACTATGTAGTATTCCATTGTGTAAATGTACCACATTTTCTTTCTCCATTCTTTGGTTGAGTGGCATCTAGGTTGTTTCCAGGTTCTGGCTATGACAAACAATGCTGCTATGAACATAGTTGAACACATATCCTTGTGATGATTGAGCATTCCTTGGGTATATACTCAACAGTGGTATTGCTGGACCTTGAGGTAGATTGTTTTCTAATTTTCTGAGAAATCACTATACTGATTTTCAAAGTGGCTATACAAGTTTGCATTATCACCAACAATGGAGGAGTGTTCCCCTTACCCCACATCCTCTCTAGCACAAAAAAATTTAAACTTTTTAAAAATGATATATAATGCCTAGTGTTTACTGATTAGAACAATATGGTGATCTGTTTGGAATATTTCAGAGATGCTGCCCTAGGATGGCCTTGAACTTTACATCCTCTTAGCTCCACCTCCAGCTGCTAGCATTACAGGTGTGCATCCCCAAGTCCAGTCTAAGTGGGGTGAGGAAGGGAAATCACCACTTTGAGCATACTAGGCAAACACTTCATTAACTAGGCTACATTCTGACCTCGGACCCCAGTAGTTTTAAAACTGAAATTTTATTTTGGAAGCGAGAAGGACTCATGAAGAATAATAGCCTTTCAAAGAGGATCATTGTGTTCATTTTGCTAATTTGCAAGCTGCAAAGTTAATTTTCAGGTTGCTCCTAAAGTTAGTTTCTTCATAATGCTATTTTTGCATACATAGCAGTTATGCATGTTTATGGGGAAACAATGTGATGATTTGATAAATGCAATACATTGTAAGTGGTGCTCAAACTTGAATAATTGGCATGTATATCAACTTAAATATTTATGATTTCTCTGGGGTGAGAACATTCAAAATTGGTTGCAAGATTGCATTAGTGGGAAAACTGTCAAGTAGGTGGGAAAGGAGGGCCCAACAATCAGAGGTGACAAGCCCCAGATCCTGTAACAAAATCTTCAAACACCTGAACAGAGTGTACCAAGATATAGAATCCTGCTGATTTCCTAGATGTTCCAATGGAGGAAGATCCCCCACTGTTTCTAAATACACAGGTGCCCCAGCTCTCCAAATGCCTCCAGGCACCCTAATGCCCATCATCTCCAAATGCTCCTAAAGCCCCTTCCCTGCAGGTCTACAGATGCCTCCAGGACCCCAAGTGAACCCAGGTTTCCAGGTTTACCCATGTCCCTCAGATCCACCTTGTCTCCCAGGTCTGGCTCTCCAAGTCCCTCCAGGGCCTCAACTTCCCCTCAAGGCTTCAAGCAATGAGCAGAGTGAACACACCAAGTTCACCAAGGAATTTTGAGATTTTGCAAGTTTCCCACATATAAGCAACATATGGATCTGGGGGGGGGAAACTGGCTTGAAGGAGTACCAGATCCAGGTGTGGTTTAAAAACCAGAGGGCTAGCTACTCTCAGTAGCATCCCCCAAGAGCATATAGAAATGCCAGGAAAGTGAACCAGAACAAGTGAACAAGAGCTCATGTCCCTGTCAATGCCCCTGCCACTGGTGGGTCTGGGTCCCCAGGTCTACTAGATGTTAGGTCTCTCCCTCCATGCAGCTCCTCTAGTATTTCCCCAGACCTTCTTCACTTTTGATGGAGTCTAGGGAAGTTCTGGGTGTGGTGCTTCTGCAACCACTAGTCCATTTCCATAAAGAATAGCTACAACACCAGTTCAATCTGTTGCATTTGAAGACACAACAGTCTCAGTTCCAGCAATAAGACCTAGTCCCAACCAAAGCTCTATTCCCACACCCATCCCCTTATATATCCAGCAGCAGCTCACACTCCCACCAAAGCTGGAGCTTGCATCCACAGTATTGACTGTAGTATGAGGGGCTGGCTTGTTGGGGTATCTGTCCTGCCCAGTACCCCACAGCAGGCAGGCCCCAAAGAAAATCACGCACAAGACTCCATAAGATTATAAACTGATTGGCCCATTAGGTCAGGCTTCTTATTAACTCTTATAACTTATATTACCCCATTATTCTCATCTATGTTAGCCATAATGGCTCCATACCTTTCTCAGCTGGGCACGTTACATGCTGCCTCTTCGGTGTTCTGTGTAGGAGTGGCTGAGGAACTTCTCTGCTTCCCAGAATTCTCCTGTTCTCATTGCATCACCTCTACTTCCTGTCTGGTTTTCCCGCCTATACTGCCTGCCTGGCCAATCAGCGTTTTATTAAATATGATTGACAGAATACAGACAATTCTCCCACATCAATTGACAATAATAACACTGATATATAGTCACCTTACCATACAATGAAACACCAGAGTATGGCCCTCTGTCTAACTATAATGTATCACAGGTCCCCTTAACCAAGCTGTCTTCATTCACGTTCCTAAGCCACTGTTCTTCTACCAACTTTGCTGAGATCAACATTTTCAGATCCTACATAAGAGTGACATCAAATATATTTATAAAATTTTAAATTTCTACATCTGCTTATGTATGTACTTTCTGAAACTTCTATAGTAGTGGGTTTCCACGCAGCTTTTTCAAATGTCTCCAGTGTACTTAACCTCCCCTGGTACCTTCCTCTATTCTGCCCTCCCTTTCCGCACTCACCTAGCCTTTCTTGCTCCATCATTCCCCTCTATCCCATTATACAAAAAGGTTCTATCTCCCCTCTCTTGAAATCCCCTCCTTACTAATCTCCTGACTTCTATATTATTCTGAATAGAATACACATTAGTTGAAGATTCAAAGTTAAAATCCCCAAATGAGAGAAAATGTGCAATGTTCGTGTTTCTAGATTACCTTAAGTGATTGTTTCCCGCTTCATTCATTCACTCATAACAGTCAGAATTCTGTTTTTCTTGACAGCTAAATTCTATTTCATTTTGCAAATGCTCTACATATTTTAAAATCCATTCACCAGCTGATGGGCATCTTGGCTGTCTTCATTTCTTGGCTGTTGTGAAGAGAGCAGCAACAAACCTGGAGGAACAGGTATGTCTGTGATGGGATTTAGTTTTATCAGAGAATAGGCCTCAGTGGTATTGCTGAGTTGTGTGGTGGGGATAGTTCTGGCTTGACTTTTATGGTGACTGTACCAGTTTTCACTGCTACGAGTGAAGAATACGTGTTCCCCTTTTCCCATATTCATATCAGCACCCTTCATCATCACTTGGGGTTTGTTTACTAGATCTTAGACATTCTAACTGGTGTAGTATAAATTCTCAATGTATTTTTGCATTTCCATGATTACTAAGGATATTGAACATCAAAAAGGTTTTTCTCAGTCATTTCTTTTTTATCTTTTGACAACTCTCTGTTTGGCACCATGCCCCATTTTTAAGCTGGGTTGTTTGCTTTTTTTAATGTTTAGGATATTTTAGGTCTTTGTATATTCTACATACTAATATATACAAACACATATTGTAGAAGGAGCAGCAGGCCGCATTCCCGCCACCCCACTCCTGGCTAGTTTACGCCCGAAATAATTACACGGAAACTACACTCATTTAAACACTGTCTGGCCCATTATTTGTAGCATCGTATTGCCCAACTCTCTCATATTGATTCAACCCATTTCTAATAATCTGTATCTCACCACAAGGTCATGGCTTGTCGGGAAATATTCAGCATGTCTGACCTGGCAGCTTCATGGCAGGCAACTCTCTGCCTCAGCCTGACTCTGCTTCTTTCTCCAGCATTCTGTTCTGTCTACTCTGCCTATATAAGCTGCTGTCCTACCAAAAGCCAAGGCAGTTTCTTTATTAACCAATGAAAATAACACATAAACAGATGACCTTCCTCCATCAACATATATAAAGAAATTAAATGGAGTTACCCCATAAAGGGTCACTGGATATCACATGCTAACAAATAAAAAGTTCAGTGTCAGGAATAGATTACCTCTTTCTGAAATTGTTGGGCAATAAGGTACCCCCAATGTTAAAAGTTATTGCCATTGCTATTGGCTTGCCTCAAAATTTGAGAGTAAGAGTTTAATGCTGAAGGCACTGTCTACGTGAGTCATCAGAACATGGAGAAATCAAGTTGGTGCTCACCTGGAAGTTTCATGCTTACTAGACAGATTCATGGTGCTATAAGGTGCTTTCTACACTACTAGAGGAGAAAACTAATCATAAATTTACCAAGATGTGAAATTATCAAGGTACAATAATGACCAGTCAGCATGGGAAGACATGCCTACTAGTGCAATAGTGGCATGAATGTCATAGCACTAACCAACCACTTTCTGATTAGATTTAAAACCTGCTCCGCTGTACACTGAAACCCATATTGGCACCATTATGCAAGTCAAAAACCAATGGCTAAAAAAGGCCCTAGAGGAGAACCTATTGCTGTTATTTTGCTAAGCAGGCATAATATCAAACCATCTCCTGATGTACCCATAGATTAATGCTTCTCTCAACTCTCAAAGGAAAAGCTTCTGTTTTCAATAGATGGAGATGAAAACCAGAGACTTATAACTGATCAAAGTACAGAGAATGAGAAATAAATGAATATTCATCTCTACATGGGACATCTGTTTCATACCCCTCCTTTCAAGGCTCAGGGATCACTGTGGAAGAGGAAGTAGAAGGATTAAAAAAAGCCAGTGGCAGTAGATGACTACCGGGGAACAGTGTTTTTCAGACACAACAGGGCAGTCGCACATTTGAACTCATAGTAACTATGATAACACGCATATGACATGCACAAGCTCATGCCAGACAAAAGCCTAACATGGAGAAGGAAGTTGCATGTGACATCCCACCCCTTCTTGAGGAGCTATTGACAACTGATAACTGCTGGGGGAAGGAGAAAAAGAGTCAGTTTTCTTTAAGGGTGTGTTCCCAGTAGGTCAGCCCATGATTCAGTAGAAGGCCATAAATTCAAGCATACCTAAGGAGCACAAATTGTGCTTACTGGTTTGTTTTGTTTTGCTTTGGTTTTAATTAAGAGGCAGACCCGAGGTTGTATGGGTCTGGAAGAGGAGATGGATCTGGGAGGGGTTGGGGGATAGAAGTGAATGTGATCAAAATGCATGGATCAAAACTCAAAGTCCTAATTTTAAAATGACAAAAAAGAAAGAAAAATGTTGAAAATTTCCACTTCATTGGTAATTTCAAAACTTTTCCGTAGCCTGTTTTTTGAACTTTGCTGGCAAAGGCAGAGTGGTTGCGGGGGACATTATAGGAAGAGTCTTCAGTAGCATATCTGATAATGGTGCCTTCAAGGTAATCAGCTGCTAGATATAATTAGTAATGACTCTATAAAATACATAAATCATAAAGCTTCAAGTCATGAACTTGCCATGCTTCGTTGTAGCAAAAGCCACAATGGTAGAAAAACCACACCCATGCCTGATACACCAGCCTTGCCATCCCTACAGGTCAGCTTGTTTACCCCACTCACCACAGTGGACAGCAGTACACAATTTCATTTAGGCTCCTTGGCCAATACAGACACGTCGACTCCACACAGGACACAGAAATAAATCGAATTAGAAGTCAAGTCAGGTGGAAGTTTGCTCAACTTCCGTCACAGTTGTCGGTGGCTTCATGTCTCATAAGAATCAACTAAAAGCAAAAATGAAGAAGTTAGTTGAGGATCTGAGATGCTGAGAGAGACCCTACTTCACTCAAAGGTAATTCCAGAAAGCCTCACCCCAACCCTAACAGGCACACACTCTTTTCTTCAGCTTTGCCTGGCATATCTGCCAGCCTGCACAAGTCACTTCAGTTCTGTTCCTAGGAGACCACACTGGCTCTGTGTCTTAGTTATGGTTTCTATTACTGTGAAGAGACACTATGGCCACAGCCACTCTTATAAAAGAAGACATTTAATTGGGCTGACTTACAGTTCAGAGGTCCAGTCCTCTATTATCATGGCAGTGAGCATGGCAACATGCAGGCAGACATGGAACTAGCTTCATTTTGATCAGAAGGCAAAAGGAAATGGACTGAGACTCTGGGTGGTATCTTGAGCATCTACGAGAACTTAAAGGCTGCCTCCACAGTGACACACTTCCTCCAACAAGACCAAACCTACTCCAACAAGGCCACACATCCTAATAGTGCCTCTCCCTGTAAGCTGATGGGGGTCAATTACGTTCAAACTACCAGACTCTGTAAGATGTGAGAACACAACTGTCAACAGTCAGAATCTGAACGCCTGATAAAAAGACACACTCAGCTACATAGGACAAGAAAATCCAGTTGGTCTCCAAAAGAGCACTAAATGTGAAGCCTCCAGGCAACAGAGGAATTTCTACATACTTTGGATGACCTTTCCTCAGAAGGATTCAAGAGAGCCTAAAAGGCACGTAATCTACTTTGAGGGGACACTTTGAGGCATTATGAAAATTATTGGACATCACCAGAGATGATGTCCAATCACCCCAAGAGCTCCGTGATTGCCTTCTGTGTGTTTGGCTTTGGGTCTTGCTGTTGCTTTGAGACAATTCTCTTTCTGCTGCTCAAGCTGGAGTGGAAATCCTGAGTTCAAGAGATCTTCCCACTCTGGCTTCCTGAGTAGTTGGGACTACGACAGGTGCACAGCCCTAAGCCCAGGTCCTAACAGCTTTGGAAATTGAAGTAATAATGTTCACGCTACGCGAACCACTTATTAACACCTTTATGGTCAGGCTGTGACCCAGAAAGATAAAGGGATGAAAAAGAAAGGATCTACAGGTCACATCAGTGCACAGACCCCATCCTGACCTTCAAGGTGGAGAAGATTGTGTGTTTTCCTCCTTCTCCATACACTTCTCCTTCCTTTCACTCTTCTCTCGCCCAAGGGCCTACTGGCATTCACTCTCATCTGTTCTACACAGCTACATCATTCATGAGGGTAAAATGGAATGGAGAGAGAGCAAGGGATGACTTTCCATTATCTCAGAGCTCAAAATTCCACTGCAAACATTACTCGTAAGTCGGCTACTATGAGGGTGTAGTAAAATGTTTTGTTTAAATTACCACGGTATGACAGTTTATGGAAGGAATATAGTTTTCTTAAAGCTAATGTGGCTTGTTTTTATTCTGTAGTCTTTCTGCAATATGTGTTTTCATGTGTTCTCTTTAACTTCAGATCTTCCCTCACAAAGAAATATTCTGAAGAACCCATCAAGATTTCTGTCTGGTCAAGTTCAAGGACCATCTGTCTTAACCCCAAGCAGGAAAAATGAAACATATTATCAGTCCATATGAACACACCAATGACACGGCAAGAAACAATTCAGATTGCCCTGATGTAGTTTTGCCAGAAGAGATATTTTTCACAATCTCCATCATTGGAGTTCTGGAGAACCTGATTGTCCTCCTGGCTGTGATCAAGAATAAGAATCTCCAATCCCCCATGTACTTTTTTATCTGCAGTTTGGCCATTTCTGACATGTTGGGCAGTCTGTACAAGATATTGGAAAACATCCTGATCATGTTCAGAAACCGGGGTTATCTCAAGCCTCGTGGCAATTTTGAAAGTACAGCCGATGACATCATTGACTGCTTGTTCATCCTCTCTTTGCTGGGCTCTATCTTCAGCCTGTCTGTGATTGCTGCTGACCGCTACATCACCATCTTCCATGCCCTGCAATACCACAGCATTGTGACCATGCGCCGCACCGTCATCACCCTAGCAGTAATCTGGATATTCTGCACGGGGAGCGGCATCGCCATGGTGATCTTCTCCCACCACATCCCCACCGTGATCACCTTCACATCACTCTTCCCTTTGATGCTAGTTTTCATCCTGTGTCTCTACATTCATATGTTCTTACTTGCCCGCTCCCATGCTAGGAAGATCTCTACTCTACCTACAGCCAACATGAAAGGTGCCATCACACTGACTATCCTTCTTGGGGTCTTCATCTTCTGTTGGGCCCCCTTTGTCCTCCACGTCCTCTTAATGACCTTCTGCCCGAATAACCCTTACTGTGTTTGCTACATGTCTCTCTTCCAGATCAATGGCATGTTGATCATGTGTAATGCAGTCATTGACCCCTTTATATATGCCTTTCGGAGTCCAGAGCTCAGGGATGCATTCAAGAAGATGCTCTCCTGCAACAGGTATCAGTAGAACTTTTGACCCCTGATTTAAATATTGTAAAGAGGTCAAATGGCATGACAATCTGACAAGTGCTGATGCTTCTGGCCAGCATCTTTCTTTAATAGATGGTGATAATCCCACTAGTTAGTGTTTACCATACATAGCTGGCTTTCTAATTGACAGTCTTCCTGCAGCTGCAAACTTTATATTGTATCTAGAGAGATGAAATTATGGGCTGAAAAGAACAATATACAAAGTAACATAGCAATACAAATGTGAGGACTTTGGGTTAAGCAAATATTTGTTCTATTGTGGGTACCTGACAAAATTGTCCTAGGAGGCCTTTCCAAGTTGGAGGCCATGGCAACCAATTCTCTAAGTTAAAGTACTTTTTAACCATCTAACTAACTAACTGTTTTGGTTAGGTTTCTATTTCTGTGGCAAATACGAACATTTAATCAACTTTTAAAAAGGAAAAATTTATTTTGTCTCATAAATTGAGAGGTTTTGGTTCTTGGTACCTGGCTGTTGGTTGGGCCTATGGCGAAGCAGCTCATCATGATGGAAACATGTATTAAAACAACTCATGGCAGCCAGAAACCCATGGCAAAGAAGAAAAGATGGGTGTCCGATAGTCTTCTTTGATGGTAAAATCTCAATGAACTAACATTTACCATCAGACCCCACCTCTTAAAGGCTGCTTCTGGTATCAGCTAACTAAAGACCAAGTCTTTAACACATGAGGATCACTTACCTAAACCATAATAGAGAGTGCCTCAGTTTAGAAACTATAGAGTTCTTGTAAGACAAATATGGTCATTAATTACCACCACTAAATAGCCCATCTCTCATGTAGTCAGCTTTTGAATTTCCAAGAATAAATGACTCTTCACTATAAGTCTTCTTTGCTCACTCAGGATTCCACTTACTCTTTAAATCTCTCCCTACTTCCATTTCCTCAAACGTTAAAAGCAAAAATCTCTCAAAATGGAAAATTCACATATTAACCCATTTGAGTCCTATTCAGGAATATATAATATGTACTGTATTAGGGGAAGGAAGGAAGGAGAGATATAAGGGATGAGAGAGAGAGAGAGAGAGAGAATCAGAATCAGAATCATGTTTTTGACTATGGAATAACCAAGACCGAAACATTTCAAGCATCATGCTATTACTAGAGACCCAATCAAAGGATATGATATGATGAAAAAAATCTCTTTTTCTTTTAAACAAGTTCAAAATGTAGGCACATAAAATCACTGAACATTGTATTATTATGCATTAAGTAATATATATCCAATATTGAAACATGGCATTCTAAATAGTAGTAAAAGAAGCAAACTTTCAAGTTCAGCCATTAATAACACAGTTAAAGAAGAGGCTCAGAGTGTAGCAGGTTGCAGTGACAAGTCCTTGCCAAACTAGAGAGAACTATCAGTGATAAAAGGATCCAAGGCTACTCTAGTCTCCCTGGATTCTCAGTATCTTCTGCGAGAGACAGCTTCTTGCCTTCTGTCTCCAAATCCTGTTGTATAAGAGCTTCTGGGGAAAACAAAGAAAAGACATAGGGTAGAAAAAGTATGATTTATAAGGTTAAGGATGTGCCAGAACAGAAGAAAGTCATATTCAAGAGGGGGAAAGTGCTTATACGCTGAGCTGGGAAAATGTGGGGCATGGCCATCCAGAGACATGGCCTTCCTCAAAGACTGACATGCTCAACACAGCTAAGTATAACTCATGTCTGATTTCCACAGCAGCTGACCAAATTTATATTGCGTCTGCCTTACACGGCTTTCGAGTAGTGAGAATTTCTGTTATCCATTGATCCTTTATTTCCCTGTATGAATTCATACTTTGTACTTTGGTTATTGTCTGCTACCTGGGTTTGCCCGAATTGCTAAGCATTCTATGAACATTCCTGTGTGTGAACATGCAAAATAGTTTCCCCAGAATATGTTCATTGAATAGACACGCTTCAACTTAACAAGAGAATTGAAAACTGTTTTTCCGAAATGGTTATGCCAACCACACTCTCACTACTAGAGTGCAAAAGTTCCAGTGGGCCTGTATCTTCACCAATTCATTATGCCCTCAAAGTCTTGGTAATTTGACAGATGTCTGATGCCCATCTTTGACTGCTCATGAAATTGAGTAGACTTGACATTGCTTGTGTTTCATGAACTCTTGCTCATGCATTTTACTGGTCTGTCTTGGAGATTCCCAGGTGAAGGGATTTGCTAGTAGAGCCCTTACTCTCCGTCTTTTCCTGGCTGGAGTCTTCTATACAGTGGTGACAGGAAGCAGAGATTGAGAGATTCTTCGTGTTTTTCCTAAATTTAAGTAATAATACAATTCAAGTTTTTCCAATATGGTTCTTATTTTTTTTTGAAAGTTATGTTCTACTAAACTGAAGACTTTCTTTTCCTACATTGTTTCCTAACAATGCTTTTATCATAAATGAACATCGACCTTTTAATGCATCTTCAGCAACAGCAGATCATTTGCTAAATTATTAGTGGAGTAAATAACACTAATAGATTTTTAAAAATTGACCAAACTTATACAAACTACAAATAGTGCAATATTATAGAAATTGTAAATAAAGCTAAAATATGTCATTCTACAAGAATTATTCTGAATCATACTTTTATACATTCAAAGATTTTATACTAATATGCTTTAGTAAATTTTTGAATGGACAATAGTGGATTGTATAAACAAAAAACAATAATTATGAAAAAAGGTCATGAATTTGAGAGTGAGTGGAAAGAAAATGGAAGGAGCTGTAGGGAGTAAGGGAGGGATAGAAATGATGCAATACAGTACTTATGTATGAAATTCTCAGAAAAAAATAAAAATTTATATAAAAAACGAAAATTGAAAATTCAAGATCTACTCTTTCCATAAATATATTTTTATTATAAGAAAAAAGAAGAGATGCTATTTGTTCTGTTTATATGACTACTTCCTAACCTATAATTAGAGAAAGGGTTTTCACCTCTTTGGCAATGATCCATATCAGTGGGAGACTTTTCATCTGAAGGTGCCAACCTCTGCTTATCTGACTCTGCCCATTAAAGGATTGGCAAACAACTATCTTGCCAACATATGAGGGAAAAAACATTTTTTTCTTTTATTAGTGTAAGTACCTGTTTGCATAATAGCTAAAACTTTGGATAGTTTGTTGGGCACGCCTCCCAAAGCTTATACTATCTCCATACCTTGCTTGAATGTAACTCTTCAAATTTCTGTATCAGTTTGGCTGGGAGGTACTGTGCCCAACAGCCACAAGAGGCACAGACAAGAGTCTCAGTAGGGAAAGCACCTGCACAGGTCTCCTTCGGTCACCAAGATCTCTGACATCAGACTGCCAGCAAGGGTTAAATGACACAGTGGTGACATCAAAGCTAAAGAGCTCAGGTTCTGGAGCAAGCATAGATGGAGCCAGAGCAGAGTGGCAGCTAACACGCACAGGAACAGGGGCACAGGTCGCTTGAGGTAAGAGGCAAATGCTTGACAGGAAGGCAAGAAGCCAGTGGGTCAGTCAGAGCTGTCTCTAAATTTTAGCATCTAAAAAAGTTCTTATCTGCGGCCTCAGGCTGGAACCCTTAAGGCACAGTGTAAGATTTGAAACTGTCAAAGGAGACAGAAGGAAGTTGAACTTGTATTTGAGATTGGATGTTCAGGTAGCAGGAGGCTATTGGCATTCTCCTCTCCCTGGCACCCTGAAAGTTCATTTTTCCTCACACGCTCTAATAGCCTGTGACTTTAACCATTTTCTGCAAAATTCTGCAAAAAAAAAAAGGAGAAGTGAGTATAGGAGATTTTTTTTAAAGATCAGAAACACCTTCCAGAATAGTATTCAATCTTCTGTTTGCGTTATTAAGAAATTTAACTAATCTAGCTATTTTAACTTATAAACTTTATTATAAATAACTTGCAAATAGAAAACACACTCAACAAAATTTGTAAGACCCAAAGTCTCTACATCTCAGAGAACTTCTATACAGTTAGAATAGCTACTTGAAACAGAAACTTTATAGCTTCACATTGGAGTCTACACTTTCCACTTTTGCATATATATATGAAACTTAAACCTTTATCTGACATATATATATATATATATTGAAAATCCATATCAGAGTTATAACTATGAATACAGTAAGCTTTACATGCTCTGTCTGGAAATGGTCTGTGAGATATGAAAAAGAATAATTTAGTTATTTAAGAGAGTTTTATTTTGGTTGAAGCTGTACCACATCTTGAAGTAATGAGTTCTAAGCGCTCATATATATAGCCTGTCACGAGTCTTCATTTTTATCTGTCCCTAATTTATCCTTCCTTTTTTTCTAGAGGATTTAGCATGTGGGATTTTTTTTTAAAGGAGATAAAGACTTAAGTAGTAGCCCTTCTCAAATGTTGCTTCCCTATAAAAACCTGCATCTTTGATGATAACTAAACCCAAGAGACTTGGGACAACATGAAAAAAATTATCCCCATGGCTAAGATGACTAAATAATTTGAGGGTGTCGAGACAAGAACAAGAACTTCATCTTGTAGACATTAACAAAATTGGGAAAACACTGTGATAAGAGTTTATACTGTGATTGAATAGTTAGTGTAGAGCAGAGATTCTCAACCTGTGGGTGATGATCTCAATACTGTTCAAAGCAGTAGCAAAATTGCAGTTACAAAGTAGCAACAAAATAACTTTATGATTGGGGGTCACCACAACACGAGGAATTGTATTAAAGGATAGCAAGCATTTGGAAGGTTGAGAACCACTGGTGAAGAAGAAATGGCCAAAACTAAAAGAAGTGGCCATACTTTCACCAAGTCTTACCTGTCCATTTGGGGCCTGACTCCCCAGTAACTTGTGACATCACCTGCAAACATCTAAAGTCTAATTCCTAATGACCCACGGAGTTTTATCCTGATGGCCAGTCTCAAGGAAGACAAATGGTGCTGTGCATTCTGCCAATTAATAAGCTAGTGAGTGCGATGCTCGCTTATCTGTCTTGATACAACCGCACACAGCAGACACATAAGACCAAGTAACTTCCCTTAGCTGTTATAAAAGCTCTCCCAATCTATTCAGGGAAGGAATACTATCTCAGAATTTACCCACCCTCCCCACAGAGTCCCTCCTCCAGAATATTCTCTTTATGAAAACACATTTATAGCTATTCTTGTCTACTAAGCACTTTTACCACCAGACATTTGGATAGTCAGCCTTGTTCCCATGGTGACACTTTGATGGTCCATGTGATTCTCCTTGTTTCCATTGGCTCTACCCACTCTTCCTTCTGATGCTATGGTGGGTGCCTGATTAGTTTGGGAAGAGTTGAAGGTCTCTGCAGCTGCTCTCCAAAGAGAGCTGAAGGCCTTCTGAGTTGTGATGTCAGCCATCAGCAGGCACACTAAAGAGAGCCTTTCAGTCTTCTGTGGAGCCCTTGTTTTCTGTTTCCAACTGAATGGCCCTGGCCCAGGCTGTCTTTGGTAGACACCCCAACATCAGTGTTAAAAGGAGAACAGTCCATAATAGCCCATCAGGATCCACTTTACCTTCTTTCTTAGAGGACCCTAACTTTTAATAGGTGACATGGTGGCCATGGCAACTTATTCAGGATAGAATTGACATATATTCTGTGAGGTTCTTATCCCCTCTCCTGTTCACATCTGTCCCTTTTTGTGGCATGTACCACTGCTCTCTAGAGTAGGAAAGAATAGCCTGTGGCTGATGGTGTTTGAACTCACCACCTCCTCTCAGCCCAAGAAACCTACAGGTAACGAGACTTTCGCTTTCATTGGAGCAATGAATTCTCCATTTCCCTCATGATGGATTCTTGGCCAGTTTTGGTTTGCAAACTTTTCTATTTTAGGTGTGTCTAGCCTGACCAAGCAAATGGGGTTGGCCCTGCCTTGTTTTCACCTCCATGAGTTGGGAGAGTAATTCTTTTCAGGGATGATCACAACAGACCTCAGGTGAATCAATGCAGAGGGTCCAGGTCTCACACATGACAGTCAGAGAAGGTCCTTTACCCACAAAGGATGCCCCCTGGATGAACATTGCTCTTCCAGTAGGAAACACAAAATGGGTCCCATGTCCCTATTCCCTCTAAGTAAACTGTGAGGTGTCCTTTCAATAAAATGGTCTAAATTTATCCATAGACTCTCAAAAAGAAAAAATAAATTTTTATAATAAAATTTGGCCCTTGTGGCCACTCTCTTGTCATCAATACTTGCACCGTGTGGTACACTGAGCTTTCAACGCATCCACTAATTGGGTAACTTTTATAGTCATGTAGGAAGAGACTGAGATGTCTTCTGGGCAAGCCTTCACTGCCTTGTCACAGACCTGAAACTCTGAGGAAGATGCCCTGTGTGCTGTCTGCATCCTCTTACACTACCTCATCTACCCACACTCAGCCACAAATGGCATCACGGATGACTTGTACATACCCAAGCACATCCTCAGCCATCAGCCTCTCTGTCACCAGTCATCCCTCACCTGGCAACTCTGCATCATCTTCCCTTTCTCCCTCTCCCTCCTTTCTACCTGCAGATCTCTCTCCAGCTCTCCCCTTTCACTGAACAAACTTCCCCTCACTTGCTCTGGGACTTCATATAGGGAACTTGGGAAACAAAAGTCTCTCTCCCTCAGAGAATACCCTTCTCTTTCTCAGGGTAGTTATGTGGTCTTCATCTGGGTATTCCTCCCCTTCCCTGTGTCTGACCTGTCCCCGATACAATTCAAGCCACAGTCATTTTTCCAGAGCCTATCTTTGTTAATGACTTCGAATGGCTTTTGACCTCCTAACCTGATAAGACATCCATATCATCCTAACTGCCTGCAAGCACATGAGAAAGAGTCCCATTTTAGTGTGTACCTGGGTTGACGATGCTCATGCTTGTAACTCATTTACAGCCAGATTAGGCAGCCCTGATGCACAGAAAATAGAGCCCTGCTGATGGAAGAAGGACTCACTGAGACTGTATGACTGCCTGTCTTTAGAATGAGTGAAGAAGTCCTTAACGAATACATTAACTGTAGCAAGCTATGAACGATAACATGGGGAGCTTCTGATAATTCTGATATCTTTCCATGTAGGCTACCTAAAATCTGAAGAAGTATTTTAATCTCAGCACCGAGAGTTGGGAATGCCAAGTCGTTCTGGCTGTGCAACTTATTAGTCAAGTCTTTATAGATAGTGGACAAAAGCTTGAAAACTCAACCAGGAACCTGACTCCTTTCCCCATCTAATTAGACACAGATTTCAGATCTTTAATAAGCAGGTGGAGATCTCAGTGGCTAGAAAGGATGAACTGGGAAGGGGTGAAAGAGGATAAATTAAAAATTCAGTGTATGATCACAGCAATTGCCTGTTCTCTGCTCAACGCAAAAACTCTGAGAACCTTCTCCAGCAGCCACCTCATCGCTTCTGCAGGAATTTACCCAACTCCTGTTCAGAGGACTCTCCCTATTATCACTGTGGTTCTCAAGGGCATTTTAACTGAGAATAGCACAGTCAATATCGATGCCCTTCCCTAGGAGCTGTGTCCAGTCTGTGAAGTTGAAAGTCACTGGAAGTGTCAAAATCCCTCTCTCCCTCTAGATGGAAACAGATCTCAACCCAAGGACCTCATCCTTAGGTCAAACCTAAAGAAGGATCAAAGCCTCTAACATTTGTTCCTGATCTCTGAGGAGTCATCAGGGAAAGAAAGTCTTCTACCTCCCTGTTG